TGAGTCTATGGGCAGTGTTGAGTCTATGGGCAGTGTTGAGTCTATGGCAGTGTTGAGTCTATGGGCAGTTTGAGTCTATGGGCAGTGTTGAGTCTATGGGCAGTGTTGAGTCTATGGTGTGTGAATGGGCAGTGTGAGTCTATGGGTAGTGTTGAGTCTATGGGTATGTAGTCTATGGGCAGTGTTGAGTCTATGGGCAGTTTGAGTCTATGGGTAGTGTTGAGTCTATGGGCAGTTTTTTGAGTCTATGGGTAGTGTTTGAGTCTATGGGCAGTTTTGAGTCTATGGGTAGTGTTGAGTCTATGGGCAGTGTTGAGTCTATGGGTAGTGTTGAGTCTATGGGCAGTTTTGAGTCTATGGGTAGTGTTGAGCTATGGGTAGTGTTGAGTCTATGGGCAGTTTTGAGTCTATGGGTAGTGTTGAGTCTATGGGTAGTGTTGAGTCTATGGCAGTTTTGAGTCTATGGGTAGTGTTGAGTCTATGGGTAGTGTTGAGTCTATGGGCAGTTTTGAGTCTATGGGTAGTGTTGAGTCTATGGGTAGTGTTGAGTCTATGGGCAGTGTTGAGTCTATGGGCAGTGTTGAGTCTATGGGCAGTGTTGAGTCTATGGGTAGTGTTGAGTCTATGGGTAGTGTTGAGTCTATGGGTACTGTTGAGTCTATGGGTAGTGCTGAGTCTATGGGTAGTGTTGAGTCTATGGGACAGTGTTGAGTCCACCATGGGCAGTGTTGAGTCTATGGGCAGTGCTGAACGACCCCTGTACAGCACACGGTAATGCCTCCGTCGGCCCACCCCCCCCCCCCCCCCCTTTGCACCACCGAGGCTCCGCTATCTTGGCCCAATATAATCATCGACGTCAATGCTAAAGTTCGACGGCTGCTCTCATTGCTGAACGTTTTCTTGTTTGAGCGGGGGGGTATGGGGTGGGGGGCAAATGCGCGAGACGCGAGCGGGTACGAACAACTCCCGTGGGCTCCGTCACTCATGGGAACCTTTTTCTTTTTGGGTCAGTATCAAAGAAAGAAAAAGGAAAACAAGTTTTTTTTTATCCTTTTTGGCGATAAGAGAGGTCTCATAAAGGAGGTCTCATAAAGGAGGTCTCATAGTGTAAATGTTTACCCCGAGCTCTCAATACTCTGATAGTGCGCTGTTTTTTGAGTTGTACGCCTTTTGGCGTCATCTGGTCCAACACCAATGGAGACTAGGCTCTAAGAAAAGCTGTCTCGGGTGTGGACCAATCAACTTCAAGGACAGTGCATATCATTATCATCATCAGAGTTGTTTCTTTTTGTTTGCATTTTGACTGCTTGTGTTGTGGTTATTGCAAACATGATGCCTTGTATAAAGGTGTCAGTTTTTGTACCAGTTGAAAGGGTAAAAACCTATTACTATTACGATAAGAGAGGTACTAACATCGGTTTCCCACGCAGGCCTTCGCGACCAATATTATTCATTAAATAAAGGGTTTTTGTTGGGGTTAGTTCGCGTAAGTCGTAATAACCCACCACCACCCGACACAGCCAATAAGGTTTTGTCACGCAAACAAAAGGCGACAATTAGTTACTGTCCATCCTATGTGTTCGTTATTTTTAAAAATATTTTAGACCCCCTGGAAGATTTGGCCCCCCCCCCCCCCCAGTGTTGACTCCATGGCTACGGCCTTGCCACAAAGGGTAAAACCTATTTCTTATTTTTAAATCCTTTATATTAAGTTCGCTTGCTTGCTTGCGTGCGTGCGTGCGTGCTTGCTTGCTTGCGTGCTTGCTTGCTTACGACCGTGCAAATCTTTCGGTCGTTTTTTAACCCACTTCCCGTGATCCAATCGAGCTGACATTTTCCACAGAGACTCGTTGTGCCAGACAATTAATGTTCGTGAAAAAAAATTCCCAAAATTTTACACTTTATAGGCAAAAAAATTGTATTTTACATATATTCAAATAGAACGCATTCATGGCTTTGGCTGAACGTCACAGTGTAAGAGCCCAGAGAGTAACCCCTCCACAGGCCGTGGCGGAGTAGCGCAGTTGGTAGCGCCCTCGCTTCCCATGCCAAAGGTCGCGGGATCGATCCCCGCGTCCTCCACAGGCGAATATATTTTTAAATCCTTTATATTAAGTTCGCTTGCTTGCTTAGAACCGTGCAAATCTTTCGCTCGTTTTTTAACCCACTTCCCATGATCCAATCGAGCTGACATTTTGCACACAGACTCGTTGTGCGTGACAATTAATGTTCGTGAAAATTTTTTTCCAAAATTTTACACTGTTTAGGGAAAACAAATTAAATACTTAATTACCAATTGCTTAATACTGGCAGACAATCATCTGACCCATAGGTGGCAGCCATCTCAAGCCAGAGGACGAGAGGACTCTAGCCGCCACGCATATAAAGGATTTATAGTGAAAAACTTTGTTTTTACGGGTTATACTTATTGCATACTCATCAGTTCGCTCAACACACCAGATGCGCTTCTGCGGCCGTCTGGAACGCTCTTCCCTTGCGATATTTGGAAGCCACTGGAGCTGCATGCACTTTTAAGTCATCCCGATGGACAAACTCATTTCTTTAAAACTGCTTCTTGATGTGTTTAGTTTGTTGTCCTTCCCTTCCCACACCTCCGATAAGTTCAACACACGTATCATCACCACCTCATCATCACTTTCATCATCACCATCACCTCATCACCATCACCTCCTCATCATCACTTTCACCATCTCTTCATCACCATCATCACCTCCTCATCATCATCACCTCCTCATCATCATCACCTCATCACCATCACCGCCTCATCATCACTTTCACCATCTCTTCATCACCATCACCACCTCATCATCACTTTCATCATCACCATCTCTTCATCACCATCACCACCTCATCATCATCACCACCTCATCATGACCACCATCACCTCTTTATCGCCATCACCACCTCATCGCCATCACCACCTCATCACCATTACTACCTCCTCATCATCACCTCATCGCCATCACCACCTCATCATGACCACCACCACCTCTTTATCGCCATCACCACCTCATCACCATTACTACCTCCTCATCGTCATCTCATCGCCATCACCACCTTATTATCACTTTCATCATCACCATCTCTTCATCACCATCATCACCTCTTTATCGCCATCACCACCTCATCGCCAAGCCACCAGAGCTATGCACTCCTTCCCCCCCACCCCGCACCTCCGATTCGCAACGACTGGCCACGTACATCCAAATAAATGGAGGACAGCAGAGCTCGGGCAAGTCGTTGGTCGTCGCCGGCTCTTCAACTGACTGCTGCTGATGCTGCCTTGGCGGCCTTGTCTGTGGTTCGTCGGTGATTGTGAAAGAAGCACTTTGCGTAAAACGCCGTCGTTATTGTTATGTTTTTATAACGCTTAATGCTCATAGAGATCGGAAGTCAGTTATTTATTTAAGTCTTCAAACGAGCATTCACAAAGACAAAGATCACCCCCCCCCCAGTATAGCCTCAACAGACTGTAGGGGCAAGTGCTGTGAGCGAGCAGCATCTACGAAGGCCGGCACGGCACACGAGGGGGTGGGTGACCAGCACCACGCCCGACCGCCTTTGTCTCCCCAGTGGCGATATTTACACACCGCACCAGGTACTCATTTGAGGCTGAGGCAACCTAGGGGAGACCCAGGACCGGTTCAGATAATCATCACTCGCGTTTGCGTGAGCGGGAATCGAACCCGGGTCGCCAGGTTCGTAGCGCAGCGTAACGCTAACCACTACACCACCGCTCCAACAACAACAACCGCCATTCGCCACTAAGTGGCGGTGACGTCACCACGATGCTTGTGCCAGGCTAGGTGCACCTCGAGGCCACGTGAAGTGTCGAACGCCCGCTGGCAGGAGGTCACGGGGCAGACCCAGCAGGTGCCACGGGTCGACTGACTGAGACGACTGGCCAGAAATTGCAACCGGGTACCCGATACCCGTACCCTTCCCGATACCCGGCTACCCGTACCCGGCCGGGTACAGGTACGGGTAGCCGTTTGCGACCCTGGTGCGGCCGGGTACGGGTACGGGTAAGGAATCAAAACCCGTTTGCGACCTCTGCGACTGGCTGACGCACCACCTGTGCCCCCCTACTGTGCCAACGCTCCCCACAGCTCCACACACCCGCACACATTCACTCACTCTGCAGTACAGGGGGAGCACGTGCACGCACACTCCACACTCACAAATGTGCCCGAGTCAGGAGTCGAACCCAGGAGCTTCTCGCTACGAGGCACGAGTGTTACCACAGCGTGACCCGGCACTGTGACGCGGATCATAAAGTTAAAAAAAAAAAACACCCGACCATGGCTTGATTTGCATAAATCTTTATGAGCTGACCTTCGGCTATTACAGAGTTGACCGACGGTCCGGTAAAGCTATTTCGTCTTGTTCATGATGCGTACTTTCTTCTCGACGTGGCGCGCGCATTTTAAGAGCAACCTGTGACCAAAATATAAACCCTACACCGCGGGCCTCATCTGAACTTAAATACAGGTCACTGTGTCTCACTCCACTCCCCTCCCCTCCACGCACTCTCCTGCCTCTCCCTTCTCGTCTCACTCTACTCCCCTCCACGCACTCTCCTGCCTCTCCCTTCTCATCTCCCTCTACCCTCTCATCTCACTCCAATCCCCTCCACACACTCTCCTACCTCTCCACTCTCATCTCACTCTACTCCCCTCCACGCACTCTCCTGCCTCTCCCCTCTCATCTCACTCTACTCCCCTCCACGCACTCACCCGCCTCTCCCCTCTCATCTCACTCTACTCCCCTCTCATCTCACTCTACTCCCCTCCACGCACTCTCCTACCTCTCCCCTCTCATCTCACTCTACTCCCCTCCACGCACTCTCCTGCCTCTCCCCTCTCATCTCACTCTACTCCCCTCCACGCACTCACCCGCCTCTCCCCTCTCATCTCACTCTACTCCCCTCTCATCTCACTCTACTCCCCTCCACGCACTCTCCTGCCTCTCCCCTCTCATCTCACTCCACTCCCCTCCACACACTCACCCGCCTCTCCCCTCTCATCTCACTCCACTCCCCTCCACGCACTCTCCTACCTCGCACCTCACTCTCCCCCCCAGCAGCCAAGACTTTCTGTTTAAGGCACCGGTCAACCTCCGCTCAGTGGAAGGTCGCTCCTTCTCCTCTGCTGCCCGCGTTGGCTAGACCGCTCTTCCCCCAGCTATGCATGCTGTTTACTCCCTGTACATTCTCAACTCCAGGCTCAAAAAACCTCGTCTTCCCTCTACGACTGTCTCTCTCTCTCTATGCTAAATTCCTCTTGATATGCAAATTATTTTGTCAAGGCGCTCTTCTTCCCCCTCCAACCCAGCTTAAATATACGCTCCAAGCTTGGCGGTGTTTCATTCTTCACCTGAGGACGGCTGCTTGCGTTGTAGCCGAAACGTCGTGAGAATTATTTTATTATGTTTTATTTTTGTTATTTTATGATTTTATTATTTCCCTTCTACGTGACTTTACCGAAAGAACCAAGAAGATGACTGCCCATAGACTAACACTGCCCATAGACTAACACTGCCCATAGACTCAACACTGCCCATAGACTAACACTGCCCATAGACTCAACACTGCCCATAGACTCAACACTGCCCATAGACTAACACTGCCCATAGACTCAACACTACCCATAGACTCAACACTACCCATAGACTCAACACTGCCCATAGACTAACACTGCCCATAGACTAACACTGCCCATAGACTCAACACTGCCCATAGACTAACACTGCCCATAGACTAACACTGCCCATAGACTAACACTGCCCATAGACTCAACACTGCCCATAGACTCAACACTGCCCATAGACTCAACACTGCCCATAGACTCAACACTACCCATAGACTCAACACTACCCATAGACTCAACACTGCCCATAGACTCAACACTGCCCATAGACTCAACACTGCCCATAGACTCAACACTGCCCATAGACTCAACACTGCCCATAGACTCAACACTGCCCATAGTCTCAACACTACCCATAGACTCAACACTGCCCATAGACTCAACACTGCCCATAGACTCAACACTGCCCATAGACTCAACACTGCCCATAGACTCAACACTACCCATAGACTCAAAACTGCCCATAGACTCAACACTGCCCATAGACTCAACACTGCCCATAGACTCAACACTACCCATAGACTCAACACTGCCCATAGACTCAACACTGCCCATAGACTCAACACTGCCCATAGACTCAACACTACCCATAGACTCAACACTACCCATAGACTCAACACTACCCATAGACTCAACACTACCCATAGACTCAACACTACCTATAGACTCAACACTGCACCTCCGATTAGGACGGTTGGCTACGTACGGTGCGATAGAAGTTCAAGATACACACATAGTTGTCATCATTGTTATTATTGAGCTTATGGCGTATATCTATTCTACACGATCTACACTTGTGCGTGCAGTTTTTACTATAATGTTGATTTTTTAATGTACAGCGCTTTGAGATTTCGATATGAAAGGCACTTTATGAACGACAGATGATTGTTATTAGTATTGCTGCTACTACTACGACTGTGACCAGATTCCATCTTCATGGCACGGGCAGTTGAATCCACGGAGGCCAAAAGAAGAAACAAGGTGATGGCAAAGGGGCACTGCCTGAAACGTCGGCCTATTTCATAGGGTGATCAATCTTCAGGCACACCTCTCAAACAAAGAGGGCCACGTTTCCACGTTGGAGATTTAAAAAGATTCGTTTTTATTTATTTAAACTAAACTATAAAAAAACTAAACGATGTCTTATTTGACCAAGTAAGGCCCCCACTGAGCTATGTAGCTCTTGACGATCACAAATGATAGCTCCGCGAAGTGAGCTTATCATCTTCATCATCATCATCGTGTCGAAATTTAGAGCAGCAAAATCAACTCTAAACGCGTGGCGTTGCTTCTAAATGTGGAGGAGGGGGGGTGAGAAACCGGGGGACCCGAAGAACAAATCCACGCGACCACGGAGAGAGAGACACGCAAACTCCAAATATACAACAGCAGGCGTCAGGGGTTCGGGATCGGACCCACGACCTCTTGTATACCAGGCGAGGTAACTAACATCTCCGAGTCACCGTGATGATGATGATGAGAGAGAGAGAGAGAGAGACATTTCAACTCAAAATATACAGCAGGCGTCAGGGTTCGGGATGGAATCCACGACCTCCTGTATACCAGGCGAGGTAGCGAACATCTCCTAGCCACCGTGATGATGATGAGAGAGAGACATTTCGATTTAAAATATACAGCAGGTGTCAAGGGTCGGGATCGAACCCACGACCTCCTGTATACCAGGCGAGGTAGTTAACATCTCCTAGCCCCCGTGATGATGATGAGAGAGAGAGAGAGACATTTCGACTTAAAATATACAGCAGGTGTCAAGGGTCGGGATCGAACCCACGACCTCCTGTATACCAGGCGAGGTAGTTAACATCTCCTAGCCCCCATGATGATGATGAGAGAGAGAGACATTTCAACTCAAAATATGCAGCAGGTGTCAGGGTCGGGGTCGACCCCACAACCTCCTGTATACCAGGCGAGGTAACTAACATCTCCGAGTCACCGTGATGATGATGATGAGAGAGAGAGACATTTCAACTCAAAATATACAACAGGCGTCAGGGTTCGGGATGGAATCCACGACCTCCTGTATACCAGGCGAGGTAGTTAACATCTCCTAGCCCCCATGATGATGATGAGAGAGAGAGAGACATTTCAACTCAAAATATACAGCAGGCGTCAGAGTCGGGACCGAACCCACGACCTCCAGGTGAGGTAGCTAACATCTCCGAGCCACCGACGCCTCTTAAACGAGTCTCCCGAACCAATCGCACTAACGTACAGTAACACGGCATGGAACAACTCTTGACACCGCTCCGTCTTCTGTCGGACAAAGGAGCCCCCTCGCGTTCACAACACTCAAATCTGTCGGGAAGACAGCGACAGAGAGAGACACAGAGAGGCGGGAAGGGGTGGGGTGAGTGATTAGACATCGGTTAAGGGTGTCGAGAAATGCAAGAATTGCCAAGGGGCTCCCCTGGGCGGCGGTGGCAGCTGCCCCTGTGCACACACAACGCAATGTGATCGGTAGAATCCCTGGGGAGAATTATAGGCAACATAATCGGCGAAAAAAGAAAAGTGGCACGGTGCAATGGTTCATCTTCTTGGTTCTTTCGGTAAAGTCACGTAGAAGGGAAGTAATAAAATAATAAAAATAAAACATAATAAAATATTTTTTTTATTATTTTATTATGTTTTATTTAATAAAAAGAAAACATAATAAAATAATTATTATGCCCGTGCATTATGTAGGATTAGCAGCGTCAAAGGGAGGGAGTAGGGTTAGCAGTAATAAAGGGAAGGAATTTTAATAGTAAGGAGCTGCAGCAACTAAACCGTATGTTCCCCGTCACATTAATCGCGTTATAGTCAACTCGCGTTATGAAACACGTGTGTTGTCTGTCACATTAATCGCGTTATATCCAACCCGCGTTATAAAACACGTGTGTTCTCTGTCACATTAATCGCGTTATATCCAACCCGCGTTATAAAACACGTGTGTTCTCTGTCACATTTATCGCGTTATATCCAACCCGCGTTATAAAACGCGTGTGTTCCCCGTTACATTCATCGCGTTATAGTCAACTCGCTTTTGAAACACGTGTGTTCTCTGTCACATTAATCGCGTTATAACCAACCCGCGTTATAAAACACGTGTGTTCTCTGTCACATTAATCGCGTTATATCCAACTCGCGTTATACAACACGTGTGTTCTCTGTCACATTCATCGCGTTATAGTCAACTAGCGTTATAACAATACGTGTGTTATGTTACATTAATCGCGTTATAACCAACTGGCGTTATAAAAGCTACACGCTGCGTCGTAGGAGAACTGGGCCGCACTTTCCGTTGCAGGAGAAGCTCCATTTTCCGGTTTAACGACGAGTCCTGCGGGTTCACCCGACTTAACACCCTGAGATGCCTTCTTTTACGCTTGTAGGAACGTAAAAACCCCTGTTGTTGCTGTTGTTGTTGATGATGAGTTGGAACACCGAGTTAGATCGACGACCGTGAATGATGGTCGACATGGGGAAGCGTATTAATCATTCGAGAACCACCTAATCGATATCGTGAAAAAATGTAATCAACTAAAACTCGTAAGCATTCACGTCACATCTATGTCAGTATCTCGAATAACAATATCACTATTCAACGTTATTTTTCACAAGCAGCATTTGTTTTCGGACACACCCCGTGTTTATATTAGTGGCAAAACAGCGTACTCAGATTGTAAATGTTGTGGCTTGGCTCTCCAACACACAACCGGTGTGCTGTACTAGTATACCACACTATACACTACACTATACACTACACTATACACTACACACTACTATACACTACACTACACACTACACTACACACTACTATACACTACACTACACACTACACTATATACTACTATACACCACACTATACACTACACACTACTATACACTACACTATACACTACACATACACTACACTACACACTACACTATATACTACTATACACCACACTATACACTACACACTACTATACACTACACTATACACCACACTATACACTACACATACACTACACTACACACTACACTGCTATACACTACTATACACTACACTATACACTACACTACACACTACACTACTATATACTACACTATACACTACACACTACACTATACACTACTACACTACACACTACACTATACACTACACACTACACTATACACTACTACACTACACACTACACTATACACTGCTATGCACTACACTATACAATACTATACACTACTATACACTACACTATACACTACACACTACACTATACACTAGTGCTGTACTAGTGACAAATTGTCCACGTTCTGTTGACGTGACAACCCTTCCTAGTTGGCTGTGTCGGGTGGTGGCGGGTTTAACGACACATTTATATATTTACGCGATCTCACCCAACACAAACCCTCTATTATGCACACAGACGCACACAGACGCACGCGTACCGAGCATTGCATAAACACCGTACCCCTGGTGGTTGAAGATCGAGTCGCGTTCATTGCGAGGGGAAGTTCAGCACTTCGATGGAGTTTTCTCTGTGGGGTCAGTGCCGTTCCCCAGGTCTGATGCACACACACGCACACAAAGACAAAGACAAAGATCCACCCGTGTAGCCCTAACAAACTGTTGGGGCAAGTGCTGTTAGCGAGTAACACCTATGAAGGCCGGCACGGCGCACGAGGGGGTGGGTGGCCAGCACCACGCCCGGCCGCCTTTGTCTCCCCAGTGGCGTATATTAACACATCCGCACCGGGTACTCATTTGAGGCTGAGTCGACCTAGGGGAGGCCCAGGACCGATTCAGATAATCGTCACTGGGTGTTGGCCGTGAGCGGGAATTGAACCCGGGTGGCCAGGTACGTAGCGCAGCGTAGCGCTAACCGCTGCACCACCGCTCCTACGCACACGCAGTGCCGGATTAAGCTAGTGCACGGCCTGTAGCATATGTTATGAAGGGGCGCTAAATAAAATAAAAAAACACAAATATTAAAGCACTAATTTTTTCACTTGCATAGTAAAGTTATTGTATTTCTTCATTTGCTATACAGCCAGATAATGCGACGAACCACTAAACTTAAACACCAAGTCTTTCGTAAATGCTAAAGGTAGTATATTACTATAGTAATACAGCAAGTGCAGAATTCTAGATTTGAGGCTTTCGTGACTGCAAGGATTCATACTCTTAGTTCTTTCGGTAAAGTCACCATGTAGGTAAAAAATGATAAAATTTATAAAAAATAAAACAATAAAATTACGACGTTTCGGAGGCAACACAAGTCTCCGTCATCAGGTGGGACCGTCACAGCCAGATTTGCTGTATCAAGTGTATTTAAGAACTTGCATCTTGGAATCCCTGCCTCACTTGATGCAGCAAATCTGGCTGTGACGGTCCCACCTGATGACGGAGACTTGTGTTGCCTCCGAAACGTCGTAATTTTATTGTTTTATTTTTATTAATTTTAATTTCATTTTTTACCTACATGGTGACTTTACCGAAAGAACTAAGAGTACAAGTGCAGAATCACTGCACCGGAATTGACAAGCTTGAAAGTGCGGGGCCCGTAGCAGATGCAGCTACGTTTGCGACTACGACACTCAAAATCGGTGTCCGTCAGTGAGAGTCTAAGGCAGCGGTCGGGAACCTATGGCTCGCGACCATCATCACCACCATCACCACCACCACCATCATCATCATCATCACCACCACCACCACCATCACCACCACCACCACCATCATCACCACCACCATCACCACCACCATCATCATCACCACCACCACCACCATGATCACCACCACCATCACCACCACCATCATCACCACCACCATCATCATCACCACCACCACCACCACCATCATCACCACCACCACCATCACACCACCACCACCACCATCATCACCACCACCACCATCATCACCACCACCATCACCACCACCACCACCATCGTCTCTTTCCCCCAAAGCTCTTGCAATCACAAAGTCGCTCAACGAAAGACGAACCGACGATGACTATCCTGCAGTCACCAAAGCTTCAAATCAAGATCATCACCGTACCCTTTGGTTCGTTCGGCAAAGTCACGTAGATATAAAATAAAATAAATCACGACCTTTCGACTTTACCGAAAGAACCAAAGAGCAAGGATTCCTGCAGTCACGAAAGCTTCAAATGAAGACTAAACCGACTTTTATCGCCGATGACAACTTTTAGCGGCGATCACGTTGCGCGTTTCCGCGACCTTGATCACGACGAATGTTTAACGGTGTCCGTTCGTTTTCCGGGTCTCTGGCCTTGCGCTCAACAAACAGCCGTGATGGATAAAATGCAAAAACACCTAAAAGCCACCGCCTTGCGGCACGCTCTGCACACCCCCATCGGCAGCACCATGCGGTGTGCATGAAGGTGACCGCCGTTGAAGCGGAACACCTCACGGAGTTTGGCGTCTGTCCCCCACACCTCCGATTATGATGGTGGGAGACGCACGGTGGCTAGGAGATGTTAACTACCTCGCCTGGTGCGCAGGAGGTCGTGGGTTCGATCCAGACCATGACGCCTGCTGCTGTATATTTGGAGTTTGCGTGTCTCTCTCTCTCTCATCATCTATAGACTCGCACAGAGACCCATAGACTCACACAGAGACCCATAGACTCACGCAGAGACCCATAGACTCACACAGAGACCCATAGACTCACACAGAGACCCATAGACTCGCACAGAGACCCATAGACTCACACAGAGACCCATAGACTCACGCAGAGACCCATAGACTTAAATAGAGATCCATAGACTCACACAGCAACACATAGACTCAGAGACCCATAGACTCACACAGAGACCCATAGACTCACACAGAGACCCATAGACTCACACAGAGACCCATAGACTCACACAGAGACCAATAGACTCACACAGAGACCCATAGACTCACGCAGAGACCCATATATTCACAGAAAGTTGGACGGGCTAAGTCGCTGTGACCTCTGTGAAGATCTGACCCCTGACCCTCCCCGGTCCCCCCGTGTTCCACGCTTCGACAATGCGCTGGGATTTCCATCGCTCGGCTACCTCCACAGAGATTTTGAAGAAGAACAAGAAGAAGAAACAATGCGGCTGGCGATGGAGAGAATGCAGAAGGCAGACAGCTGGAGGTGTTCTGCTGCTGTTGTTGTTGTTGAGCAAACCGAGTAACTCTCCAAGTCGTGCGGCAGTCACAACGGTGGCAGCGGCGGCGGCGAAAGACAGAGGTCAGCAAGGAATCGTCATGCAGACAGAATGCCCCCCACCCCCACCCCCACCCCCCTCCAGGTTGTCAGTGGTGGTGCCGGCCGATTGAGGGGGGCCCTCTCTGCATTCATTACTTTTGCAGGGCCTCCCAAACCCCTTTCAGTCACGAAAGCTTCAAATCTAGAATTTATAGTTTAGTTTAGTTTTCGCAACCAATATCATCCATAATGCAGGTTTTTTTTGGGGGGGGGGGTTAGATTGCGTGAATATAAATGTGTCGTGAAACGTCGTACTCAGATTGTAAATGTTGTGGCTTTGCTCTCCAACCCACCGGTTAGTGCTGTACTAGTAACGAATTGTCAATGTTGTAGTGGGTTTACACTCCAACACACAACCGGTTAGTGCTGTACTAGTAACGAATTGGCCACGTTCTGTTTACGTGACAAACCCCTTAACTAGTCGGCTGTGCCGGGTGGTGGTGGAGGCTTCAACGACACATTTATAATCACGTGATTTAACCCCAAAAAACACCTCTACCGTGGAGCTTATAGTTCAGTTTAAATTTAAATCCTGCACCGCCATGAGCCACTCACTTTGATTTACGCCACGGAACCACCGCTGACTTTCGACAACCTCGTCACATTCGCAGGGGGAGAAAGAGAGAAAGAGAGAGACACAGGACACAGGCAAACGTCGGGCCAGGACCAACACTGGCCCAACGTCAATAAAACTTTAAGCCAACGTCGGTTCAACGTCAGACCAACACTGGCCCAACATCAACCAAATGTCGGGCCAACGTCGGTTCAACGTCAGACTAACACTGCCTCAACGTCAACAGAACTTTGAGCCAACGTTGGTTCAACGTCAGACCAACACTGGCCCAACGTCAACTAGACGTTGGGCCAACGTCGCATGCATTTTTTTTGTTCTGGGCAAACGCTCCGTGCATCTTCAGGAGGGAAAAAGCGCCGCACTAAGGAAAGGCCATGGACACGGGTTCGGTCCCGTCACGGGGCTTCCGTGTGTTCGTGTGTGCTCCTCCTCAAGGAGAGTCCACCAAAGTCCGCCAAAGTTCACCATAGTCCTCCATAGTTCACCATAGTCCACCAGAGAAATCCACCAGAGAAGTTCACCAGAGTCTGAAACGCGAGGACCAAAGTGTCTTGAGAAATCCTCGCAGCAGCGGCAGCAGCGGCGGCAGTGGCAGCGTTGAACGTAGCGAAGAAGAGAAGAGAACCCCCCCCCCAACCGCCCCCCACCCCACCACCATGGTCCTACGGCGGATGCCGACCGAGCGATCGCGATCACTCGGCAGGAACCCAAAGCGGCGTGCGGGACCGCGGGGTGGTGACGTACCGCGGCCTCCCCGCCGGCGAGCCTTCGACCGTTCTTTGCGGCCGCATAGCGCACCGAGCCTGGCGCAAGCGCCGCGCACCGTTCACGAGCGCGCGTGCGTCGGACTGCCCGTCGCGCCGCACATAGCCAACCGCGATCATCGGAGGCGCTGGGGGGGAGAAGGGTGACGGGCTGGCGACGTCACTTAGCGGCGAACGGCGACCATTTTGTTGTTGTTGTTGTGTTGCATGGTCGTGAATGCCAACTCAAAGATGGCCGCGGGTAGCCTACGCAGCGTGTTGGGGCTGGTGCTGTTAGCAAGCAAGCGGGGCATCTTTGTCTTTGTGGTGCGTGACGGCGCGTTGGGCGACTTGTTAACTTATTCGTTGTGCTTTGCATCTGCCTTAATTAGGTCTTTGCAAACGCTTCGTATTAATATTACTTTAAAAAGTTTTGCTGGCTGGAGGGAGGTAAGGACGGACGGGCACTCGCTCACATCCAGCAGAACGTGTGGGCTGATGTTTATTACAAATTTCGATGTCTACGCTCCCCGCCTTCGACAACCCAAACTTTTTCTCTCTCTCCCTTTTGTCATTTCGAGGACCCAAGTCACTCCTGAAAATGAGACTGCTCCATCCTGCTCCCTAGAGTTCCCACCTGGCAGCTGGCCGGCCAGCGTGGTGCCAGCCACCCACCCCCACTTTGTGTGCGTGCCGGCCTTCGCAAGTGCTGCACGCTACGAACAGCACTTGCCCTGGCAGTCCGTCGCAGGCTACACGGGGAGGAAGGGGGACCTTTACCTTTGCGTGTTGAACACGCCACAGCAGGCGGGCGCGCTGCGCTACATAGCCCGAGTTCGATTCCCGCTCATGGCCAACCGGTTACCCGAAACCTGGTCACTGGTGCCTAACCCCAAGGATCGGAGGGAAAATAAAAGCAGCAGCAGCAGGGGGAATACAAAGGCGGCCAGTTGCGTTTCGTGGACGCTGACCTACGCCGCCTCCAGCTCGCAGGCTCCCCGACCATCACCAGGGGGCTACGGCTACCCGGGAGGATGAGAAGGTGGAGGAGGTGGAGAGAAGGTGGAGAAGAAGAGGTGGAGAAGAGGTGGATATCTTTGCCGTCGTCGCTCTGCGTACTGCGGCCGCGTAGGGCAGGCGAGCGGCGTCTCCGGAGCGAACGGCGTCTCCGGAGCGAGCGGGAGAGGCACGGCATGGAGCGTCGCACAGACCCCGGGCGGCCCGCGCTAGGCCAGCGTGCCGTCCGCGCGGCTAGCAGGCGCATTTACTCCGCTTGACGTCGCCGGCGCCGTCCGCGAAGACCCCGCCGGGGCCGCCTCCGCTTCCCCTGTGGGCGCCGGGCAGCGTGGAGCGTCCGAGCGTCGACTCCATCCTCTTCATGATGAGGTCGAGCAGCGCGGTGACGGCCGCGGCGACGTTGGCGCCCGACGCGGCGCTCGACTCGAAGTAAGGCATCCTGCACGCGCGCCGTCGGGGACGTCAGGGACATCGGTCACACGGGGTGGGGGTGGGGGAGGTGGGGGGGGTGGAAGGTGTCCCGGTGAGTGTTCCGCTCCCTGTGCGGTGTCGCGCGACGCGCTCGTCTGTGACGCCGTCAGTCGACCCGTGGCACCTGCTGGGTCTGCCCCGTGACCTCCTGCCAGCGGGCGTTCGACACTTCACGTGGTAGCCTCAAGGTGCACATGGTCCTGGCACAAGCGTCGTGGTGACGTCACCGCCACTTAGTGGCGAATGGCGGTTGTTGTTGTGTTTTTTCATCAGCCAGTCATCTCAGTCATCTCGGTCAGTCGACCCGTGGCAACCCGCTGGGTCCACCCCGTGACCTCCTGCCAGCGGGCGTTCGACACTTTCACGTGGTAGCCTCAATGTGCACATGGCCTGGCACAAGCGTCGTGGTGACGTCACCGCCACTTAGTGGCGAATGGCGGTTGTTGTTGTTGTTGCGTGTCAAATTAAACCGGCAGATCGCCGGCGGAGTTGGTCAATCGGCACCGCAGGTTCCGGATGTCGGAGCTTGGCCCGTGTTGTGTTTCCGCGTTGGTCAGTGGGTGTCGTGTCGTGTGCATGTTGCGTGTCGTGTGCATGTTGCGACACAGATGTCCCTCCTGGACATACTGTTAGAAAGAGCTTCATAGCTCGTCGGATTCCGCGCTAGTCGGAGGTGCAGTGCTGCACCGATGGGCAGTGTTGAGTCTATGGGCAGTGTTGAGTCTATGGGTAGTGTTGAGTCTATGGTGCAGTGTTGAGTCTATGGGCAGTGTTGAGTCTATGGGTAGTGTTGAGTCTATGGGTAGTGTTGAGTCTATGGGCAGTGTTGAGTCTATGGTGCAGTGTTGAGTCTATGGGCAGTGTTGAGTCTATGGTGCAGTGTTGAGTCTATGGGCAGTGTTGAGTCTATGGGTAGTGTTGAGTCTATGGTGCAGTGTTAAGTCTATGGGCAGTGTTGAGTCTATGGTAGTGTTGAGTCTATGGGCAGTGTTGAGTCTATGGTGCAGTGTTGAGTCTATGTGCAGTGTTGAGTCTATGGTGCAGTGTTGAGTCTATGGGCAGTGTTGAGTCTATGGGCAGTGTTGAGTCTATGGTGCAGTGTTGAGTCTATGGGCAGTGTTGAGTCTATGGGTAGTGTTGAGTCTATGGTGCAGTGTTGAGTCTATGGGCAGTGTTGAGTCTATGGGTAGTGTTGAGTCTATGGGGCAGTGTTGAGTCTAAGGGTAGTGTTGAGTCTATGGTAGTGTTGAGTCTATGGGTAGTGTTGAGTCTATGGGTTAGTGTTGAGTCTATGGGTAGTGTTGAGTCTATGGGTAGTGTTGAGTCTATGGTAGTGGTTGAGTCTATGGGCAGTGTTGAGTCTATGGGTAGTGTTAGTCTATGGTGCAGTGTTGAGTCTATGGGTAGTGTTGAATCTATGGTGCAGTGTGAGTCCTATGGGCAGTGTTGAGTCTATGGGCAGTGTTGAGTCTATGGGCAGTGTTGAGTCTATGGGAGTGTTGAGTCTATGGTGCAGTGTTGAGTCTATGGGTCAGTGTTGAGTCTATGGGTGCAGTGTTGAGTCTATGGGCAGTGTTGAGTCTATGGGTGCAGTGTTGAGTCTATGGGCAGTGTTGAGTCTATGGTGCAGTGTTTGAGTCTATGGGCAGTGTTGAGTCTATGGTGCAGTGTTGAGTCTATGGGCAGTGTTGAGTCTATGGGTAGTGTTGAGTCTATGGGCAGTGTTGAGTCTATGGTGCGGTGTTGAGTCTATGGGCAGTGTTGAGTTGTAAGGGTAGTGTTGAGTCTATGGTAGTGTTGAGTCTATGGGTAGTGTTGAGTCTATGGGTAGTGTTGAGTCTATGGGCAGTGTTGAGTCTATGGGTAGTGCTGAGTCTATGGGCAGTGCTGAGTCTATGGGCAGTGTTGAGTCTATGGGTAGTGTTGAGTCTATGGGCAGTGTTGAGTCTATGGGCAGTGTGTGAGTCTATGGTTAGTGCTGAGTCTATGGGCAGTGCTGAGTCTATGGGCAGTGTTGAGTCTATGGGCAGTGTTGAGTCTATGGGCAGTGTTGAGTCTATGGGCAGTGTTGAGTCTATGGGCAGTGTTGATTCTATGTGCAGTGTTGAGTCTATGGGTAATGTTGAGTCCTATGGGACAGGTTTGATTCTATGGGCAGTGTTGAGTCTATGGGTAGTGTTGAGTCTATGGGCAGTGTTGAGTCTATGGGTAGTGTTGAGTCTATGGGCAGTGTTGAGTCTATGGGCAGTGTTGAGTCTATGGTGCAGTGTTGAGTCTATGGGCAGTGTTGAGTCTATGGTGCAGTGTTGAGTCTATGGGCAGTGTTGAGTCTATGGTAGTGTTGAGTCTATGGTGCAGTGTTGAGTCTATGGGCAGTGTTGAGTCTATGGTAGTGTTGAGTCTATGGGCAGTGTTGAGTCTATGGTGCAGTGTTGAGTCTATGGGCAGTGTTGAGTCTATGGTGCAGTGTTGAGTCTATGGGTAGTGTTGAGTCTATGGTGCAGTGTTGAGTCTATGGGCAGTGTTGAGTCTATGGGTAGTGTTGAGTCTATGGGCAGTGTTGAGTCTATGGTGCAGTGTTGAGTCTATGGGCAGTGTTGAGTCTATGGTGCAGTGTTGAGTCTATGGGCAGTGTTGAGTCTATGGGTTGAGTCGATGTGCGTGTGAGTCTATGGGCAGTGTTGAGTCTAGGGTAGTGTTGAGTCTATGGGGTACGTGTTGTAGTCGATGGTAGTGTTGAGTCTATGGGTAGTGTTGAGTCTATGGGAAGTGTTGAGTCTATGGGTATGCTGAGTCTATGGGCAGTGCTGATCTATGGGCAGTGTTGAGTCTTGGGTAGTGTTGAGTCTATGGGTAGTGTTGATCTATGGGGAGTGTTGAGTCAATGGGTAGTGCTGAGTCTATGGGCAGTGCTGAGTCTATGGGCAGTGTTGAGTCTATGGGCAGTGTTGAGTCTATGGCAGTGTTGATCTAGGGCAGTGTTGAGTCTATGGGTAGTGTTGAGGTCTAGGGTAGTGTTGAGTCTATGGGTAGTGTTGAGTCTATGGGCAGTGTTGAGTCTATGGGTAGTGCTGAGTCTATGGGCAGTGCTGAGTCTATGGGCAGTGTTGAGTCTATGGGTAGTGTTGAGTCTATGGGTAGTGTTGAGTCTATGGGGAGTGTTGAGTCTATGGGTAGTGCTGAGTCTATGGGCAGTGCTGAGTCTATGGGCAGTGTTGAGTCTATGGGCAGTGTTGAGTCTATGGGCAGTGTTGAGTCTATGGGCAGTGTTGAGTCTATGGGCAGTGTTGATTCTATGTGCAGTGTTGAGTCTATGGGTAATGTTGAGTCTATGGGCAGTGTTGATTCTATGGGCAGTGTTGAGTCTATGGGTAGTGTTGAGTCTATGGGCAGTGTTGAGTCTATGGGTAGTGTTGAGTCTATGGGCAGTGTTGAGTCTATGGGCAGTGTTGAGACTATGGGCAGTGTTGAGTCTATGGGTAGTGTTAGTCTATGGGCAGTGTTGAGTCTATGGTGCAGTGTTGAGTCTATGGGCAGTGTTGAGTCTATGTGCAGTGTTGAATCTATGTGCAGTGTTGAGTCTATGGTGCAGTGTTGAGTCTATGTGCAGTGTTGAGTCTACGGGCAGTGTTGAGTCTATGGGCAGTGTTGAGTCTATGTGCAGTGTTGAGTCTATGGTGCAGTGTTGAGTCTATGGGTAGTGTTGAGTCTATGTGTAGTGTTGAGTCTATGGGTAGTGTTGAGTCTATGGGCAGTGTTGAGTCTATGGGTAGTGTTGAGTCTATGGGTAGTGTTGAGTCTATGGGTAGTGTTGAGTCTATGGGCAGTGTTGAGTCTATGGGTAGTGTTGAGTCTATGGGTAGTGTTGAGTCTATGGGTAGTGTTGAGTCTATGGGCAGTGTTGAGTCTATGGGTAGTGCTGAGTCTATGGGAAGTGCTGAGTCTATGGGCAGTGTTGAGTCTATGGGTAATGTTGAGTCTATGGGCAGTGTTGAGTCTATGGGTAGTGTTGAGTCTATGGGTAGTGTTGAGTCTATGGGTAGTGTTGAGTCTATGGGCAGTGTTGAGTCTATGGGTAGTGTTGAGTCTATGGGTAGTGTTGAGTCTATGGGCAGTGTTGATTCTATGAGCAGTGTTGAGTCTATGGGTAATGTTGAGTCTATGGGCAGTGTTGATTCTATGTGCAGTGTTGAGTCTACGTGCAGCGTTGAGTCTATGTGCAATGTTGAGTCTATGTGCAGTGTTGAGTCTATGTGCAATATTGAGTCTATGTGCAGTGTTGAGTCTATGTGCAGTGTTGAGTCTATGTGCAGTGTTGAGTCTATGTGCAGTGTTGAGTCTATGTGCAATGTTGAGTCTATGTGCAGTGTTGAGTCTATGTGCAGTGTTGAGTCTATGTGCAGTGTTGAGTCTATGTGCAGTGTTGAGTCTACGTGCAGCGTTGAGTCTATGGTGCAGCGTTGAGCGCTGACCCGTAAGAGTCCGCGAGTTCGCGCGCCTGCTTGGCCGAGACGACGCGCAGGTCCTCCAGGTCCGACTTGTGTCCGCACAGCACCACGTCCGGGCTCTCGCAGTACGCGTGCATCTGCAGTTGCTCTACGCGCGGGACACACGAGGAAACAGGTGGGCTCCGTCGTAAACCGCGAACCCCCGGGGCGCGCTTCTGCGTGTTTTTTCTTCATTCGTCCTCATCTTCTTCTTCTTGGTTCTTTCGGTAAAGTCACGTAGAAGGGAAGTAATAGAATGTTAAAAAATAAAACGTAAAAATAATAATTCTCACGACGTTTCGTGAGAATTAGACGCTGTCTCCCCGACAGACCTGTTCTTCACCTGAGGACGGCTGCTTGCGTTGTGGCCGAAACGTCGTGAGAATTTTTTTAAATGTTTTATTTTTATTATTTTATTATTTCCCTTCTACGTGACTTTACCGAAAGTCGGGATCGAAGTTTGTGAATACCAGGCGAGGTAGCACGACGTGCTTGCGTGATGACGCTGGTGGTGGTGGCGTTCTTATGGTATGGTCGCTCAACAGAGAAGCCCCTAGCGACGAGCGGCCGAATTACGTCAACGAATCGTCATTCCTGCAAAAGACCCCCCCACCCCGAACCGTCGACCCTCCCCGGTTTACAACCTTTCAATGGGATCGGGGGGCCGCGTGGCCGATGCGTCCACGCCGATGCACCACGTGGGCGCCGTCGAAGATTCAACGGAGCCCGTGCTTGAGCCCGAGGGTTGAGGGGGGGGGGGTCACGTGGTGGGGGAGTGGGGGAGGGGGAGTGGGGGGGGGAGTGGGGGGGGGGCACGTGGTGGGGGAGTGGGGGGGCACGTGGTGGGGGAGTGGGGGGGGGGCACGTGATGGGGGTGCTCCCACGGACTCACCCATCCAGCTGCGCACGTTCAGGAAGCTCTGCTCGCTGGTCAGGTCGAACATGAGCAGGAAGCCCATGGCGTCGCGGAAGAACGCCGTGGTGAGGCTGCGGAACCTGCCACACGGTGGGGCAGACGCGTCGCGGTCGCTACTCGGTGGCGGCGGTGGCGGCGATGTCGGTAGTGGTGACCGTGGCCGCGGCGGTTGTGATGGTGACAGTGGTGGCGGTTGGTGATGGTGTTGGTGGTGATGGTGACGGTGGCGGTGATAACAGTGACAGTGGTGACGGTGGTGGTGACGGTGGAGGCAGTTGGTAGTGGTGACGGTGATGGTGGTGGTAACGGAAGCAGTTGGTAGTGGTGATGGTGGTGGTGACGGAGGCAGTTGGTAGTGGTGGTGGTGACGGTGACGGCAGTTGGTAGTGTTGATGGTGGTGGGGTCAGTTGGTAGTGGTGATGGTGTGGGTGTGGTGGTGGTGGTGGTGACAGTGGAAGCAGTTGGTAGTGGTGATGGTGGTGGTGGCGTCAGTTGGTAGTGGTGATGGTGTGGTGGTGGTGGTGACGGTGGAAGCAGTTGATAGTGGTGATGGTGGTGGTGACGTCAGTTGGTAGTGGTGATGGTGGTGGCGTCAGTTGGTAGTGGTGATGGTGGTGGTGACGTCAGTTGGTAATGGTGATGGTGGTGGCGTCAGTTGGTAGTAGTGATGGTGGTGACGTCAGTTGGTAGTGGTGATGGTGGTGACGTCAGTTGGTAGTGGTGATGGTGTGGTGGTGGTGGTGGTAATGGTGGTGAAAGTGGAAGCAGTTGGTAGTGATGATGGTGGTGGAGGCAGTTGGTAGTGGTGATGATGGTGGTGGTGGTGACGTCAGTTGGTGGTGGTGGTGAGGTCACCTCTCCTGGCCGGCAGTGTCCCACAGCTGGAGATGAATCTTCTGCTTGCGACCGCCCAGAAGGCCCTCCTCGCCCGAGGCCTGGTACACCTGGTGGAAACCATCGGGGTTGACTGTTCGAGACTCAACTTGGTGGAAACCATCGGGGTTGACTGTTCGAAACTCAACTTGGTGGAAACCGCCAGGGTTGACGGCTCAACGACAAATCCCCGTCTTTAAAATCCCGAAGGGCGACCGCATTCTCCGCTTTATTTCCCGGACCTCGGGATTTAGCGCGGGTTGGCTACGTACGGAGCGCAAAAAAAATAGTTCTTCGTACACACAGACATATGCATGTAGATATGTGTCCATACACGTATGTTGACCCTCTTTCGCGCACCGTACGTAACCAACCATGCTAATCAGAGGTGCGTTGGAAGAACAACAAGCTGAACACAAAAGGCAGTTTAAAAAAAATTTGTTATCAACCTAGATGATTTTAAAGTAGCATAGCTCCAGTGGCGGACGCACGTATGATGGGTAATTGCGTTATTTTAAATGTGCATCATCCTAACAGTTTTGTGTACCGGCTGCCGGGGGCCAGGCTGGAGTACAAAGTTGCGAGCCAAAAGCACAAAAACGCGAGACGATAACAACAACAACAAATGTGAAACGCAATTACGAAGTAGTGGGAAACTGACATCGCGATGACTGTAGAAGAACCAGTGGCATCTACATCTACGGAACGTGAATAATCAGTGGCATCTACATCTGCAGAACGTGAAAGAATTAGTGGCATCTACATCTGCAGAACGTGAAGAACTAGTGGCATCTACATCTGCAGAACGTGAAAAACTAGTGGCATCTACATCTGCAGAACGTGAAGAACCAGTGGCATCTACTCCTGCAGAATGTGAAGAACCTGTGGCATCTACATCTGCAGAACGTGAAGAACCAGTGGCATCTACATCTGCATCTACATCTGCAGAACGTGAAGAACCAGTGACATCTACATCTGTAGAACGTGAAAAACCAGTGGCATCTACATCTGTAGAACGTGAAGAACCAGTGGCATCTACATCTGTAGAACGTGAAAAACCAGTGGCATCTACATCTGTAGAACGTGAAAAACCAGTGGCATCTACATCTGTAGAACGTGAAAACCCAGTGGCAATCTACATCTGCAGAACGTGAAGAACCAGTGGCATCTACATCTGTAGAACGTGAAAAACCAGTGGCATCTACATCTCCAGAACGTGAAGAACCAGTGGCATCTACATCTGCAGAACGTGAAAAACCAGTGGCATCTACATCTGCATCTATATCTGCAGAACGTGAAGAACCAGTGGCATGTACATCTGCGGGACGTGAAAAACCGGTGGCATCTACATCTGCAGAACGTGAAGAATCAGTGGCATTCACTGCAGAACGTGAACATGGCAGCTACATCTGCACGTGAAGACCATTGGCATCTACATCTGCATCTACATCTGCAGAACGTGAAGAACCAGTGACATCTACATCTGTAGAACGTGAAAAACCAGTGGCAGCTACATCTGTAGAACTTGAAGAACCAGTGGCATCTACATCTGTAGAACGTGAAAAACCAGTGGCATCTACATCTGTAGAACGTGAAAAACCAGTGGCATCTACATCTGTAGAACGTGAAAACCCAGTGGCATCTACATCTGCAGAACGTGAAGAACCAGTGGCATCTACATCTGTAGAACGTGAAAAACCAGTGGCATCTACATCTCCAGAACGTGAAGAACCAGTGGCAATCTACATCTGCAGAACGTGAAAAACCAGTGGCATCTACATCTGCATCTATATCTGCAGAACGTGAAGAAACCAGTGGCATGTACATCTGCGGGACGTGAAAAACCGGTGGCATCTACATCTGCAGACGTGAAGAATCAGTGGCATCTACATCTGCAGAACGTGAAGAACCATTGCATCTACATCTGCAGAACGTGAAGAACCAGTTGCATCTACATCTGTATAACGTGAAGAACCAGTGGCATCTACATCTACAGAACGTGAAGAATCAGTGGCATCTACATCTGCAGAACGTGAAGAACCAGTTGCATCTACATCTGCAGAACGTGAAAAACCAGTTGCATCTGCATCTGCAGAACGTGAAGAACTAGTGGCATCTACATCTGTATAACGTGAAGAACCAGTGGCATCTACATCTACAGAACGTGAAGAATCAGTGGCATCTACATCTACAGAACGTGAAGAACTAGTGGCAATCAACATCTGCAGAACGTGAAGAACCAGTGGCATCTACATCTGCAGAACGTGAAGAACCAGTGGCATCTACATCTGCAGAACGTGAAGAACCAGTGGCATCTACATCTGCAAAAAGGGAAAAACCAGTGGCAATCTACGTCTGCAGAACGTGAAGAACCAGTGGCATCTACATCTGCGGAACGTGAAAAACCAGTGGCATCTACATCTGTAGAACGTGAAAAAACCAGTGGCAAATACGTCTGCAGAACGTGAAGAACCAGTGGCATCTACATCTGCAGAATATGAAGAACCAGTGGCATCTACATCTGTAGAACGTGAAAAAACCAGTGGCATCTACGTCTGCAGAACGTGAAGAACCAGTGGCATCTACATCTGCAGAATATGAAGAACCAGTGGCATCTACATCTGTAGAACGTGAAAAACCAGTGGCATCTACGTCTGCAGAACGTGAAGAACCAGTGGCATCTACATCTGCAGAACATGAAGAACCAGTGGCATCTACATCTACAGAACGTGAAGAACCAGTGGCATCTACATCTGCAGAATGTGAAGAACCAGTGGCATCTACATCTACAGAACGTGAAGAACCAGTGGCATCTACATCTACAGAAGGTGAAGAACCGGTGGCATCTACATCTGCAGAACGTGAAGAACCGTGGCATCTACATCTGCAGAACGTGAAGAACCAGTGGCATCTACATCTACAGAAATGTGAAGAACCAGTGGTATCTACATCTGCAGAATGTGAAGAACCAGTGGCATCTACATCTGCAGAACGTGAAGAACCAGTGGCATCTACATCTACAAAATGTGAAAAACCAGTGGTATCTACATCTGCAGAACATGAAGGACCAGTGGCATCTACATCTACAGAACGTGAAGAACCAGTGGCATCTACATCTGCAGAATGTGAAGAACCAGTGGCATCTACGTCTCCGGTACGTGAAGAACCAGTGGCATCTACATCTGCAGAATGTGAAGAACCAGTGGCATCTACATCTACAGAACGTGAAGAACCAGTGGCATCTACATCTGCGGGAACGTGAAGAACCAGTGGAATCTACGTCTGCAGAACGTGAAGAACCAGTGGCATCTACATCTGCAGAACGTGAAGAACCAGTGGCATCTACATCTACAGAACGTGAAGAACCAGTGGCATCTACGTCTGCAGAACGTGAAGAACCAGTGGCATCTACATCTGCAGAACGTAAAGAACCAGTGGCATCTACATCTGCAGAACATGAAGAACCAGTGGCATCTACATCTGCAGGACGTAAAGAACCAGTGGCACCAGTGGCATCTACATCTGCAGGAGATTATACAACTTTTAAAGCCACTCCCCGTGTTTAGTCTACACGCCGTACAACACGTTTGGAATCGAGTAAAATTCGGACTCAAGAACAAATCGACTTACGACAACGGACCTCTGGAACTTAATTATAGATTTGAAGCTTTCGTGACTGCAAGGATTCATATTCTTAGGTTTTTTTCGGTAAAGTCATGTAGGTAAAAAAAATTCAATAATAAAAGTAAAATAAAAATAAAATAAAAATCACGGACGTTTCGGAGGCAACACAAGCTTCCGTCTTCAGGTGGAACCGTCACAGCCACGATAGCTGTATCAAGTGAGAGAAAATTCCAAGAAACAGTATTTTGTATATTTCGATTTTAAAGCTTTCGTGACGGCAGCGATTCATCTTCGTGGTTCTTTCGGTAAAAGTCACGCAGAAGGGAAACAACAAAACAATAAAAACTTAGTTTCGTTCGTAAGTAGGGGAGAGTTCCCGTACGCGCAACGACCTCGATGCTCGGTCGAGCGAGGAAGTCGATTTGACCTTTTTGAGAGTAAGCCGGACTGCCCCTGCCGCGATACCCACCACTCGCTTCTCCTTGAAGTCGATGCCGACCGTGGCGATGAACTTGGCACGGAAGATCCCGTCGGTGTACTGGTGCAGGAAGCTCGTCTTGCCGACGCCCGAGTCTCCCAGCGCCAGCAACTTGATGAGGTAGTCATAGTCCCCATCCGACATGGCCAACTCGTGACCTGCCAACACACGGCGCATACACCACTACAACACACCCCACCACCACTACCACCACACACAGCGCCACCACCACCGCCACCACCACCACACACAGCGCCTGCCACCACCACCACCGCCACCACCACACACAGCGCCTGCCACCACCACCACCACCGCCACCACCACACACAGCGCCTGCCACCGCCACCACCACCACCACACACAGCGCCACCACCACCACTACCACCACCATAACCACTACACACAGCGCCTGCCACCACACACAACGCCTGCCACACCACCACCGCCACCACCACCACACACAGCGCCTGCCACCACCACCACCGCCACCACCACCACACAGCGCCTGCCACCACCACCACCGCCACCACCAACACAGCGCCTGCCACCACCACCACCACCACACACAGCGCCACCACCACCACTACCACCACCATAACCACTACACACAGCGCCTGCCACCACCACCACCACACACAACGCCTGCCACCACCACAAATACTGACGTTCATTCTTCACAGAGTTATTTCTCAGAACCATGTTGGGTTCAGGCGAGGTGGTGGTGGAGGTGGTGGTGGTGGTGGTGGAGGTGGTGGTGAAGGTGGTGGTGGTGGTGGTGGAGGTGGCGGTGGTGGTGGAGGTGGCGGTGGTGGTGGAGGTGGTGGTGGAGGTGGCGGTGGCGGTGGCGGTGGTAGAGGTGGTGGTGGAGGTGGTGGTGGTGATGGTGGTGGAGGTGATGGAGGAGGTGGTGGAGGTGGTGGTGTGGTAGCTCGGGGTGACGCAACATTAAAATGTTGACGAGCGCTATGCCTGGCGCGTCCACTTCGCGTGCCGACAATTCCTCGTTGCTGTTGCAGTTGCGGGCAACTAGTGAGTAATCGACACCGCCTATCACAATTATCCCTCCTGTCCAAATCGGCCAGCCGAATCGCCTTTATTCAATTTGCTAGAGAGAGAGAGCGAGAGAGAAAACCACGACCACCCCAACAACAAAAACACAAATCTGCCCCATCGCTTCCTTCTTCACCATTCCCAATTACCGCGTCCCAAATGTCTCAAACTCCACGCCGACCCCATCACCACCGCCTCCTCCTCCTGCTGCTGCTGCTTCTGCTGCTGCTGCTAATGCTCCTACTGCTGCTGCTCCAGCTGCTGCTACTGCTGCTGCTTCTGCTGCTGCTACTGCTGCTGCTGCTACTACTGCTGCTGCTTCTGCTGCTGCTACTGCTGATACTGCTGCTGCTACTGCTGCTACTGCTGCTACTGCTGCTGCTCATCCCAAACGAAGCCGTCCCCTGTCCATCGTCCCGCGGTTCTGACGCGGAATAAATCAACGGGGTTGAGTAGAAATTGGTGACGAGCGCTGGTATCGTTCGTCCGAGGACAGGAGAGAGGGAGAGAGACAGAAAGAGAGACAGACAGAGAGAGAGGGGGAGAAAGACAGAGAGAGAGACAGAGAGAGAGGCGGGGAGAAAGACAGAGAGAGAGACAGACAGAGAGAGAGGCGGGGAGAGAGACAGAGAGAGAGACAGACAGAGAGAGGCGGGAGAGAGACAGAGAGAGAGACAGACAGAGAGAGACAGAGAGAGAGACAGACAGAGAGAGACAGAGAGAGAGACAGACAGAGAGAGAGCGGGAGAGAGACAAGGCGCTCTTCCCCCTCCAACCCAGCTTAAATATACGCTCCAAGCCTGGTGGTGTTTCATTCAGACTCGTCTTTCCGACAGATCTATTCTTCACCTGAGGACGGCTGCTTGCCGTTGTGGCCGAAACGTCGTGAGAATTATTGTATTATGTTTTATTTTTATTATTGTATTACTTCCCTTCTACGTGACTTTACCGAAAGAACCAAGAAGAAGTATAGTGTATAGTGTAGTTGTATAGTGTATAGTATGTAGTGTATAGTGTAGTGTATAGTGTAGTATACTAGTACAGCACTAACCGGTTGTGTGTTGGGAGAGTAAACCCATTACACAATTTACAATTATAGTGTAGTGTATAATGTAGTATATAGTGTAGTGTACAGTGTAGTGTACTAGTACAGCACTAAGCCATAATGCAACAAAAACATAACTCTGATAATATATGCACTGTCCTGCATATATTATCAGAGTTATGTGTTTTGTTTGCATTATGGCTGCAGGTATTGTGGTCATATGCAAACATGACTCCTCGTAAAAAAAAAGGTGTCAGTTTTGTTGCCAGATAGAAGGGTAAAAAAACAATTATCAATCGACATCCCGTCAATTTCACATTCCTGTGTGAGGTCTGACGGAGCATTCCGTCCAATTGGGGGTCGTGATGGGGCATTCCTTTTGTGACTTTCAATTAGAATAATTATTGCGACCCTTTTTTTAATCCCTTGACATTTTCGTAAACATCTTCTTGGTTCTTTCGGTAAAGTCACGTAGAAGGGAAGTAATAAAATAATAATAAAAATGTGGCCGAAACGTCGCGAGAATTATTAAATGTTTTATTTTATTATTGTATTACTTCCCTTCTACGTGACTTTACCGAAAGAACCAAGAAGATGAATCCCTGCAGTCACGAAAGCTTTAAATCGAAATTTTCGTAAACGTTCCGTTCGGCCTGTTGAATGCTCACCAGCAATTAAGCAGAGGCACGCTAATCGCACGCTCTTGCGAGATAAATGTTGCGACGCGATTGATGGAATCCCATACACACAATGCATCATGTGGATTCACTGTAATACACCAACGGGTATGGGATAGATCCATTTTTGTCATTTATATGCATACATTACACCCCAGCCCTCTGATTTTCGCACCATGATAGATTCACAATCAACGTTTTTGGGTTTAGATCGCGTTATTTATAAATGTGTCGTAACCCTCCACCACCCGACACGGCCAATCAGTAAAAAGTGTCACGTTGACAAAAGACAACAGTTCACTGCTTTAGCCCACCGGTGTGTGAAGCGTGAAACCACAACATTTACAATTTGAGTATGAACGTTTCGCTGGTATTGCATCCAGCATCATCGGGCAATTCGCCATTCTGGCCATTCTGACTATGAAACCCCCCCCACCCACCTCCTACGCATTTCCCATGAATATGCTAATTCCTCTTCATACTGCACATTATTTTTAAGGCGCTCTTCTTGCCCTCCAACCCAGCGTATATATAAGCTCCTAGCTTGGTAGTGTCTCATTCTTCCCTGAAGACGGCTGCTTGCGTTGTAGCCGAAACGTCGTGAGAATTATTTTAATTATGTTTTATTTTTATTATTTTATTACTTCCCTTCTACGTGACTTTACCGAAAGAACCAAGAAGATGAATCCCTGCAGTCACGAAAGCTTTAAATCGAATTTATTTGTCTTTTGTCAACGTGACACTTTTTTACTGATTGGCCGTGTCGGGTGGTGGAGGGTTACGACACATTTATAAATAACGCGATCTAAACCCAAAACGTTGATTATGAATAATATTGGTCGCGAAAGCCTCCCTCGTGTTAAATAGATTCACAAGCTACGACAAAACATTTATCCACTCCTCGATTTAAGTCGGAAACAGGAGGAGGATTAATCCGCAACTCTGTGGCTGCTGCCTGATGATGATCTCTCGTGTGTTGTTGTTGTTGTAATTACCGGCGAAATGTCGCCAGGTTACTCGAATTCTAAAATGTTGTAGTGGGTTTACTCTCCGACACACAACCGGTTCGTGCTGTACTAGTACACACACACGACACTGTACACGACACTATACACTACATATACTACACTATAATTGTAAATGTTGTAGGGTTTACTCTCCGATACACAACCGGTTAGTGCTGTACTAGTACACTACACACGACACTATACACTACACTATACACTACACTATAATTGTAAATAGTGTAGTGGGTTAACTCTCCAACACAACCAGTTAGTGCTGTACTAGTATTTTACACGACTCTACACTATCCACTACACTATATACTACACTATACACTACACTGCTATACACTACACTATACACTACTACACACTACACTATGCACTGCTATACACTACACTATACACTACACTATACAGTACACTATACACTACACTATAATTGTTAATGTTGTAGTAACGAATTGACAGGTTTCGTGTTGCGTGACGCCCTCACTCATTGGCTGCGTCGGAGTTGGTGACGGTCTTCACGACACATTGATGTCTACGCGACGTACCCCACACCCCCCCCCCCAAACAAAACCTCTTATATAGATAATATTTCTCGCGAAAGCCCTACGACTACTATTACTCCGTGGTGTAATTGGGCCAAACAAACCCATCGTGACATAGCCTGGACATCGTCATCATCATCGTCATCTTCTTCATCATCATCGTCATCATCGCCATCATCATCGTCATCTTCTTCATCATCATCGTCATCATCGCCATCATCATCGTCATCATTAACATCGTTATCATCATCGTCGTCATCATCGTCATCATCATCATCGTCATCATCATCGTCATCATCATCATCGTCATCATCATCGTCATCATTAACATCGTTATCATCATCATCGTCGTCATCATCGTCATCATCGTCATCATCATCATCGTCATCATCATCGTCATCATTAACATCGTTATCATCATCGTCGTCATCTTCATCGTTATCTTCATCATCGTCGTCATCATCTTCATCATCATCGTCATCATTAACATCGTTATCATCATCGTCGTCATCATCATCATCGTCATCATCATCATCGTCATCATCATCATCATCGTCGTCATCGTCGTCGTCATCATCGTCATCCTCCTTCCCTCCCTCTCTCGCGGGCTCCATCCACGTTGGGTCCTTGATGAGCGCGATGGCGTGATGAGTCAGCACACACCGTGTGTGTACAGACACACAACATACACACACATCCACACACATACACACACACACAACACACACACACAAACACACCACACACACTCATCCACACACACACACAAACACCCCACACAAACACACCACACATACACACACACAACCACACAAACACACCACA